GTCACTTATTTATCAAATTTGGCATTTATTGCATACAATTACAGAATTGGGAGAAATGTTATTTTTGTAGCTATATATATATCATTACTTGAGCAATGGTGCCATGACAAAAACATTAAATACCCAAGTGAAAGATACGCAACTAAACTCCAGAGCAATGAATATCCAACTAGCAACCACGTGAATTAGCTAAGGCAGGTTATAGAGGCGAAACTCAATCATTGAACAAAAGTGTTCTAATATTAGCCATTTAGCAGCATCAAAGGGCAACTTATATACCTCTGATCCAACATTGTTTGCCAGTCACAGATGCTCCATGTAGATTCGAATCCAGAGATGATATCAACCGCAATACACTCAAAACACACAACGATAGAGCTCAGAGTTCAAGTCAAAGCGAGGGTTGCCTTCTCATCTTGTGTCAATGAAGACAGGTCATCATCAATTTGCAAATCATAGAGGCTCGTGATGTTGAGCATTGCAAAGAGAAAGTGAGGCACCCTTGAGGGCGTACAGTGGATACTCGGATTGGTTGGGACTCCGCTCCTGAGGCAAACTAGGGCTGGAGCGGCAAATCATCATATGAGGACCGAGAAGTTCGAGGAGTACACTGGAAGAGGGGGAAGCGAAGTATTCTCATCTAAAAGAAACTTAAAGAGTGCTAGAGCCTACTCATTGCACTTCGCATCATGGCATAATCCCACACTGGGTATTTATTCAAAGAAAAAAGACACTTGCACTAAAGGGTCGCACTTGAGGCTGAGGCCTGGATCACTTTGGATGTGGTTTGATGCATGACTCATGGCGTACACTGAACCCTCTTACAAGTGGAAGAGTAAAACTCGATATACATCTCAACCAAAGTAGCCTCATAATATTTCTCATATATGGATTAAACAAAATTAGACTGTGTAAATCATATTTATCAGTATAACAATAAATCAACCTCATATGCCTTCAGACTTTTCCCATTAATAACGAGCTATGTGAATAATTTAACATATATCAATCTTCCCTGTTCGCATACCAATTCTGATGAGTATAGCCTTGGGTGACCTTAGACAGGTGCTATCTCCTATGGAGACCAAACAGCGGGGAACCAAAGGTCGCCCTTCCCTGGGAGCAATGCCTGTTGGCCAGGTATCATACTAAAGCTGGGATGCACAAGAGTTGGATAGAAACTCAGTGTTGCCCCGTGACTTTTACTATCTAACATCTTTATTTAGTAGGCCTTCTACTATTACAAAAAGCTTGGACCACCTTAATCACACAGGTGAACTGATTTAGCTCATTACACTTTATAAATCATTAATTTATTATATTATTAATTTTAGATTTCATATTCTGAGACAGAGTTCTCAACGCGTTTGATATGTCAAAAGCTACGATAGTGCACGATGAGTAGCGAGACGGCTCTACCAAGACAGCGCTCGTGAAGTCTCCGGCTAGGTGCAAGACAGCTATCAAGCGTGAAATCAATCTCAGAGTAAGCTGGGACTAAACAGGCATGCGCCACCATGCCGCTAATTTTTGTATATATTTTTTAGTTGTCAATAATTTATTTATTTTTGGTAGAGAACGGTCTCGCTCAGGCTGGTTTCGAACTCCTGACTAGCAAATCCGCCCGCCTCGGCCTCCAAAGTGCTAGGTACAGGCGTGAGCCACGCGCCGCCTATAATGCATTTATTGATTGATTGATTGAGACAGAGTCTCACTTGTTGCCCAGGCTAGAGTGCCATGGCGTCAGCCTAGCTCACGCAACCTCAAACTCCTGGCTCAAGTGATCCTTCTGCCTCCCTTCCCCAGTAGCTGGGACGACAGGCATGCGCCACCATGCCCGAGTAATTTTTTCTATATATTTTTAGCTGGTCAATTAATTTCTATTTACAGTAGAGACAGGGTCTCGCTTTTGCTCAGGCTGGTTTCCACTCCTGACCTTGAGCAATCCGCCCGCTCAGCCTCCCAGAGTGCTAGGATTACAGGCAATGAGCCACTGTGCCTGCCTATAATGCTTTTAAATCTCATTGTGAGAATTTGATTAGTAAATTGCACATAAGCCATTTTCAATGAATTTGTGAATTATGTGAAAAATCCCAAGTCTTATGGGTTTAAAAGTCTTGCGGAGTGAGCTGGAGTGAGCGGGCTTTGGTCCTTATCCAACCTCTCATTCCTCTGCATCAGCTCTTGTCCTCTCAGCTTCTGAGTTTTAATTGTTTTATGATTTGATGTAGGGCTCTGTAATTCTTCTGTTTGTGGTTCAGGGAGTAGTGGGAAGACACATCCAGTTAGGAACCTAAGGATTCAGTGCCCTGATCCAAAAGACATCTGCATTCGAACGTTTATGGCAGCACATTCACAATTGCGTAGGTGTGGAAACAACCCAAGTGCCCATCAATACATGAGTGGATTAATAAAATTGTGTATATGTATACCATGGAGTACTACCAGCTACAAAATAATGTGATTTAGCACTTCTTGTGTTATCCTGAATAGAGCTGGAGCCTATTAATGAAGTATCTTAAGAATGGAAAACAAGCACCACATGTACTCACCATCAAACTGGTATTAACTGATTAACACATAATGCACATATAGTAGTAACATTCATCAGGTGTCAGGAAGGTGGGGTGGAGGAGAGGATGGTATATCACAACTAATGGGTGCGGTGCGCGCCATCTGGGGGATGGCACGCTTAAACTATGACCTGGCGGGGCAAAAGCAATATGTGTAACCTAAACATTTGTACCCTGTAATATGCTGAAATAAAAAAATACTGTATCATTCAGAGAGGGAATGGTCAACTTTGTAGTGGCCTGTTTTGGTTAGGAGTGGTCAGTTCATTCCTGTGGATGGGTTACAGGACTGCCCTCCTCCTACCCCTGTTGCTGTGGCAAGCTGAGTGGAAGCCAGGGTTCCCTAAGGAGGGGAAGTGTAATGCTTGAGGTGCAGGGACTGTGATTACCACACTGACCTCCGATGCAGGGCAGGGTCGAGTGGTCGCTTACTCAGAGAGTGAGGGGATGCAGTGATCAGCCCTGAGCAGATTTGGGTGTGGGGTCCCTCCCAAGGTGTAAGTCTTTCCTGTTTTCATTTAACAGTGTCTGTGAGGAATTGGGTTTTATTTTTCCCTTTGGCATGTTGTCTTTGGGGCCAAACAAATTATACATGGCAGATGTACAATCTTGTTTGAATTGTTGGAGCAAACAAGTCTTTGAGATCTTGCAGGCTTCAGATATGCCAGCACTCCGCGAAGCCGCTTTGGGATTGATTTTTTTTTTTTTATGATATTTTAGAACTTTTCCTGGGGGGAAGGGAAGAGAGGGTGGGTGAACACCTACCTGACCGGTACAATGAACACTATCTGGGTGATGGGCACTCTTTAACCCTGACTCAAGCATGATAATCGATAGATATAACAAAACATTTGACCCCTGTTATTTTGAAATTTAAAAAAAAAAAAAAGAACTTTCCCTAAAGTAACATTGCCCGAAAAGCCAGGTTTCATGTCAAGGTATAAGGTAAATGTTGGCAGTTCTCTGGTCCACTGGGTGTGCTTCCTGACAGAATGGAGCACTTGTCAAAACTGAGATGTAGTGAAATTAAGACTGCTTGCTTGGTAACCTTAGTAACTTACAACCTTCTGCCTCTCAATCGTATTTTTTAAAAACCTATGAAAATGATCAGTTCTTAAGCATGCGTACCCTCGGTGTTGGCTCAGATGTGATGTAACTGGGAATGGCGACAGCCTTCAGCTGCCTCCGCGCCTGTCAGTGTGTCTGGGACTCTGGGTGAGGTGGGCTCTGGCCTCAGGGCCGGTTCTGTGCTTTGGCCTGACACGGGCTGTCGCCCAGCTGTGTTCAGTACTTTGCCACAGGAGATTAATAGTGTTCAGTGAAAAAAAGATTTTGGGGTCAAAGGATTTGGAAAACACTGTGTATTCTTTTTTTTTTTTTTTTTTTTGAGACAGAGTCTGGCTCTGTTGCCCAAGCTAGAGTGAGGTCCGTGGCGTCAGCCTAGCTCACAGCAACCTCAAACTCCTGGGCTCAAGCTATCCTCCTGCCTCAGCCTCCCGAGTAGCTGGGACTACAGGCATGCGCCACCATGCCCGGCTAATTTTTTCGATATATATACACATATATCAGTTGGCCAATTAATTTCTTTCTATTTATAGTGGAGACGGGGTCTTTCTCTTGCTCAGGCTGGTTTCGAACTCTTGAACTTGAGCAGTCCACCTGCCTCGGCCTCCCAGAGTGCTAGGATTACAGGCGTGAGCCACTGCGCCTGGCCTATGTATTCTTTTTAAAAAAACTTTTTTATTGTGATAAAATATATACAACATAAAATTTGCTATTTTAATCATTTTTAACTGTGCAGTTTGGTGGGATTACTTACACTCACAATGCTGTGCAACCATCTGCACTATCTAGTTCCAGAACTTTCTCCTCACCCCAAATAAAAACTGTCCCCACGAAACAGCTGCTACCCACTTCCCCCTCCACATCCCCTGGTAGCTTCTCATCTCCTTTCTGTTGTGAATCTGCCTATTCTAGGTGGAGTCATCTGTCTTTTTGTGACTGGCTTCTTTTAGTCTGTTGTTTGTTTGTTTGTTTGTTTGTTTGTTTTTTGGAGACAGAGTCTCACTGTGTTGCTCAGGATAGAATGCTGAGGTGGCAGCCTAGCTCACAGCAACCTCAAACTCCTGGGCTCAAGTGATCCCCTGCCTCAGCCTCCCAGGTAGCTGGGACTACAGGCATGCGCCACCATGCCCCGCTAATTTTTTCTATATATTTATTTTTAGTTGGCCAATTAATTTCTTTCTATTTTTAGTAGAGACAGCATCTCGCTCTTGCTCAGGCTGGTTTCAAACTCCTGACCTTGAGTGATCTGCCTGCCTCGGCCTCCCAGAGTGCTCGGATTACAGGCCCGAGCCACTGCGCCCGGCCCTTTTAGTCTGTTTTAAGATTCATCCACATTACAGCAGGTGTCAGAACTCTCCTCAAGACTGAGTAATATTCCATTTTGTGTCTGTGCCACATTTTGTCCACTCATCTGTTGATGGATGCTTGGGTTGTCTCTGCCTTTGGCTGTTGTAAGAGTGCCATCGTGGCATCGCTGTGGGGTTGCTGGATCACAGGTGGCTGTTCTAATGCCGGTTCCCTTACTGTGGAATTTCTCAGCCTATGAAATGTTTCTATGCGCAGTAAACCCCGTAGAGAAAAACAGAGTTTTCAGATTTCCCAAGCTTATTTGGCCGTGAAAACTGTTTCTCCTTGTCTTTTGGAGTTGGTGTTACAGAACACACCTTGGGAGCCGCGTCAGAGAGGACTTTGAAGGAGGGTGTTTCCGGTGGCTGGCCCCGGTAGCCACTGTGCCTGCGGCTACCTTCAACCGAAATGGTCAGAGCGTTCTTCCTTGTAGCCATTCTTTTGTCCCCAAGTGTGAAATAATGAGAAGGTCACTTACAATTTCTAGCTGGAAGGTACCTGGGATGTATATTGAAATAATAAGTACGTGACTCTTTAGAACAGTTTTGGTTGTGATTTAAGAGGATAGACTATTAAAATAGGACATTTCTGGAAAATTTGATGTATGAGTAGAAGTATCTAGACTTGTGATTACCTCATGACTTTTAAAAGCCAGATGCTGTGTAAGAGCCCAGATCCGGGCTCCCCGGGAGCGTGGCCCTGGGCGTTGGCACAGGGCCAAACTGTTGGTTTTCAAGGTGGCACCTCTGCTTCCTTCCTCAGTGCCGGGCTCCTCTTTCATGGAGGGTTAGAAATGGCTGGTCCCTGGTGACAGAGAGGGAAAGGGACCAGCTATCAGATGGGCACCCAGGGTGTGACTTTGTGTTGACTTTCTGCTTATGTCTCTCGTAGGTTAAATGCCTCCCTCTCCGCACATCCTGAGAAAGATGAATTGATCCTATTCGGAGGTGAATATTTCAATGGCCAAAAAGTAAAGTATATATTTTTTTCTTTTCCTCCCAAATTGTCATGGGCATCATTTGGAGTAAAATGAACTTACAGCAGTGACACCAAATCCGAATCGGTTCTTTTACTCCCGCTGTGTATCTTGCTCCTGACCCACGGGGCCTGGTGTGAGATGCTGTCCTTCACAGGTCACCAGGGCAGCCCAGGCACTGGAGCGACTGTGTTGACATCAGTCGTGCAGGGGGTCCTTGTGTCCTTAACTCACGGCCACGCCTGTGTCCCGCCACACAGCTGCTCCTGTCACTGCCTGCTGGGGTCGACCAGGCCCCCTCGTCGCGGTTGATGGTGTGTGCTGTTCTTCCCCTCCGCAGGCTTCTGCATTCACACTCACAGCTTTCAGAGTTGTCCTGGACAGGGAAGTGTGGTAGATTGTAGGGCTAGCTCTTGTTTTTGAGCAGGCCAGAAAGACCTGTGTTTCAGAGTTGCCTGTGAAACAGTTGCAAAGTGTGAGCTGACTGTCCCTCCAGCCTACGAGGAGCCCTGTCAGTCAAACAACTTCACTGTCCATCTTCCTCTCAGAATTTCATGCATTTGACAACTGGGCTTGAGTTAGGAAAATGACACACACATCTTAGCATTGCAGTGATTACTGGCATGGTGGACATTTGGTCTCTCTCATTATGTTATCATCCCAAAGGATCTCAGGGGACCAGCCGCGTGGCCTCCTTGCATTGCTATGGTTTTATATTGCTTTAGGATTCAAGTTTCCCAGGGAATTCTAATGATTAAGATCATTCTTGAAACTTACTGTCACCTGCCTGGAAACATACTGTTTATGACACTGAAATTCCTCTTCCTCCCTGCAGACTTTTTTGTATAACGAGCTGTACGTCTACAACATCAGAAAGGACAGCTGGTCCAAAGTCGACATCCCCAATCCACCTCCACGGCGCTGCGCCCACCAGGTAACACCAGTGCCGTCAGCCTTCCTGTTCCCGTGTGAGGGTCACGCAGACACTTTCAGTGTTTATGAGGGACAGGTCACCTGGTGCAGAGAAGCTGGGCCTGAGCCTGCTGTTTTCTAACTGTGGCTCCTTACAAATCTTCACAGGTCCATTTCTTCACTGTGAAACACCTGCTGCCCCAGGTGGTGTGACGATCATATGAAACACCCCGTGTAAAAATACTAGTGTTGCGCCTGGCACGGAACAGCCCCTTGGCACAGTGCTTGCTCCCCATGTGCGTGGGAGGACCCACTGGCCCGAGATCCGGACTAGCTGGTGAAAACGAGAGAGCAGGTGTTCAGGGAAGGTGTGAATGGTGGAGGGCAGATAACTGCTTTAGAGTGAAACAAGTCACAGCTGGGATGATGAAGTAGTAGCTCTGACTTGGCCCGTTGTTGGCTGGTTGCTCTCACAAGGAAAGCGTAGTCAGAGCCATTGTAGTCCCGGCAGGGAAGTATCTCTGGTCTTAGATACTCCGTAAGCTCTGTCCTTGTTCATTGTTGTGACTGTCTGCTTGGAACAGTTGGGCTTGCTCAAAATACAATTTGAACAAGTGCCTGCCTTTCCAGCGGGGAGAAGGATCACTGTATCAGATGAGCGCAGCATGGATAAAACAGTCCTCCGGGGTCCTGGGCTCCCCTGTTTCTGATTCTTTGCTTAGAAATAGCTACTGATCTGAAGTGGGGCTTGAGGGAGAACCCACCTGCCCCTGCCCTGTGAATGTCTCACCGGGTGTGGACGCACTTGTCTGATGCAATAAAGGAATTCGGTTACTTTCTGGTTTAAAACCGATCTTGGTTTTTTTTTTTGGAAACAGTGTCTCACTTTGTTGCCCTGGCTAGAGTGAGTGCCATGGCGTCAGCCTAGCTCACAGCAACCTCAATCTCCTGGGCTCAAGCAATCCTGCTGCCTCAGCCTCCCAAGTAGCTGGGACTACAGGCATGCGCCACCATGCCCGGCTCATTTTTTTTTTCGTGTATATATATATATATATATATACACACACACATATATTAGTTGGCCAATTAATTTCTATTTATAGTAGAGATGGGGTCTCGCTCTTGCTCAGGCTGGTTTCGAACTCCTGACCTCGAGCAATCCGCCCACCTCGGCCTCCCAGAGTGCTAGGATTACAGGCGTGAGCCACCACGCCCAGCCTGATCTTGGGTTTTAATAAGTAAATAAATCTTGGTAAGTTCGAGTCTGTCCACCAGAACCTGCTCTGGTTCTGGGGAACGGACAGTCTGTTTAAGGCCTGCAGGCTGAGGCCAGACCCTGTCCTGCAGTGAGTGCTCAGCGTCTGCAGCTCTCTCGATGCCTCTCGGCTGGCGGGGCCTGGCGCGTGCTGGTGTCCTGCTGTGGCGTGGCACTTTTTCCCTGTGCCCTCCGCCAGGTGGGCTCTGGGGCTGCTCTCATGTTTGTTTTCTTATCTGTTTTAATCATTGTTGCTAACTGCATTCTTGGAATCCATGTCCTGAAAGCCTTTGCGATTTTAACTTCAGTTATTTCAGAAGGTGCTGCCAGCTGTCACTTATGTGGCTGCTAGGCTAGTCTGGGTGACAATCTCCACGCAGTCAGGGTTGACTTGCTGTTTACACAGCGCCTTTCATGGTGAACCAGAGAGGTGCAGGACAGATTGGTTGCAAACTCGTTTTGCTTGTAGGTCACTGCAGCTCAGATCCTACCGTGACTCTGGGATATAAACAGGTTTCTTCATTGTGGACTGGTTTAATGAGTGCAACGCTAGAAGTTCATGTTCTCTACCTGCCCTGTAATCAGCTGGGCAAAAGGAGCAGAGAAAGAAAAGACCCTGGATTTTGGAGGAGTGAAATTTTAGTGTATAATTTAAGACTCAGATGGCTTTTTCTGAAAAGAGTGCAGCGCGGTGAAGTTAGGGGTCACACTTTCTCTTGCCTGTGTGACAGAGCGGCCTGACTGGGCTTCAGCGGTTATCTCTCAGTGCCCCGTCTCCCGGGAGGACGGGAGCTGCGCCACGGACAGCGCGTGGCCTGCTGAGCACTCGGGCCGCTGCCAGCAGGGCCGTGGGGGTGAGGGGAAGAGACCGCAACGGTGTGAGGGACTCTCAGTTCACTGGGTGGTTTGTTTTCCCCAAAGTAATAACTCAGTAAAACTCACTTGAAATGAAATGCGTGTTCTCACAAGAAAGGGTGAAAAAGAAAAAAAGATCAAGATGGTTAAAAAAAAAAAAATGATAATGGTGTTCCTGTCCCAAGTGTCTTTTTGTTACTGATTTGTAGTCCAGCCCTTTTGAATTTCAGAATTACAGCCTGCTCCGTCCTGCGCACAGTCCTCGGCGTGTGTGGAGAGAATGTGCGTTTGCTGGCCGTCGCGTGTCCTCGCTGGGGGGGGGGTTGACGGCCTTCCAGTTTTCTAGATCCTGCCGACTTGTCCCTGAGAACCTCCCTTGTTCTGGAGCTTGCTTTGTCGCCGTAGCACAGCCACCCCGAGTTCTCAGGGTCAGTGTGGACGTGGTGTGTCTGTTCCTCTCAACCCACCAGTGTCTTTGTATTTCTTGTAAGCAATGCTGTGGTCCTGAGTCTTATTTTTATCTATTTTGGCAGTCTTTGCTTTTGACTCGGTGTCATTCTCCTGTGTTCAATGTAATTATTGATATGGCCATCAGTAATGTTTTTGATATTGCTCTATTTATCCCAACTGTACTGCGTTTTCTCCTCTTTTTTTTTTTTTCTCTGCCTTCTTTTAGAATTTTTTTTTTTTTTGAGACAGAGTCTCACTTTGTTGCCCAGGCTAGAGTGAGTGCCTTGGCGTCCTAGCTCACAGCAACCTCAAACTCCTGGACTCAAGGGATCCTCCTGCCTCAGCCTCCTGAGTAGCTGGGACCACAAGCATGTGCCACCATGCCCGGCTAATTTTTTGTATATATAATTTTTAGTTGGTCAATTAATTTCTTTCTATATTTAATAGAGATGGGGTCTCTCTCTTGCTCAGGCTGGTTTCGAACTCCTGCCCTCGAGCAATCTGCCCGTCTCGGCCTGCCAAAGTGCTAGGATTATAGGCGTGAGCCACCGCACCCGGCCTCTTTTGGATTTTAATATCTCATTTTTATTTCTCTGTTGGCTTATTAGCAGTAATCCCTCTGTTTTCTTTGTTTTGTTTTGGTTGCTGCAAGGTTTGCAATGTGCCTCTGTAACTTAGGACATTCTGTCTTCTTTCTGTGGGCAGGCACGTGCCATCTCCCGGAGACTCTGCCGCCCACGGCTCCTGGGGTCCTGGGAGGGCGCGGGCCACAAGGGGCCCCCTGCCTGGAGCACTTTGTGGACTCTGCTGACTGATCAGCGATACCCTGGTTTCTGACTTGACGTTCTGGGCTGGGTGGTCGGCAGTTTCAGGTCGGGGCTGTGCTTTCTCCCCGGCTTCTTCTGGCTGGTTGAGGACAGCTCGAGCTCTGCCGTATTGGGCCAGAGGGTGTCGATGCCACTGCTGTCCTTTGCCACTGCTGCTCTGCTGAAGTCTTTAAAAGTAAGTGTTAGTAGTGCTACATGCGTGCTCCCTGCTGAGTGTGCGTTTTATTTGTGGGTAGTTTAGGTGGACAGTACTTAGCGGCCAGGAAGGGTCTCGTCTGGGCAGGTGGGCAGCTTTGTTACGATGCTAATGGAAAGAAGCCACTCTGTCAGGGTGTGTGATACTGACGTTAGGTTTTGGAGTAACTGTCCATTTTGATGGGATGTGTTGTCCAAATGTAAGTGGCTGTTTATTTTGCAGCCTAGGAACGCATGAAAGCTTGTTAGACTTTTGATGCAGGACCGTGAGCTGTACGGCGGCCTTTCCAGGGACCTTCCCGTCAGAGGCAGGAGGAGCGGAAGGCTGAGTGTGGGGCTGGCCGAGTGCTGGGCATGGTGGCGGTCACCCGTGGAGCCGGCCTCTGCCGTGTGTCTACGCCCTGATCTTGTCCTTTCTCTCGACAGGCGGTGGTGGTGCCCCAAGGTGGCGGACAGCTGTGGGTCTTCGGAGGGGAGTTCGCTTCTCCCGACGGAGAGCAGTTCTACCACTACAAGGATCTCTGGGTCCTGCACCTGGCCACCAAGACCTGGGAGCAAGTCAAGTAAGATGCTGGGCCAGGAGCCCAAGCTCGGGGCTGGCTCTTCTGAGCCTGCGTGCTGAGCTCTGAGTGGCAGGGTCAGAGCACTTGGAATACCGGGGCTCGGAGGAGCAGAGGGTGCAGCCCCGGGAGACCCGTCTCGCTGGGTCCCTGAGCGGTCGGGGAGATGCTCATGCTTCCCTGGATGGGGCGCTGTGGAAAGCGCAGCTGGGACTGGCTCCTCTTGTCAGTGCCTCAGCTGCCTGTCACGGTGCACTCTCCCCAGTGGCTGTCTGTTCACCCCACGGAGGCCGGCTAGCTTTGGCGCTTGCTGGCTGTGGAGCGGAGCAGGAGGGCACCTTGTATGTCCTGCTGGTGTAGGAACAGTGAGGCTGTGAGAGGGAAGGAGGGGAAAACTTCCACGCTTCTCTTCAGCAAGCCAGGCCGGCATCGCTGTGCTGGATTTCCACCTCTTCTGGAAATATCAGTTGTGGTTTTTTGCTGCATGTTTATCACAGTATCTGCAAGCAGTCAGAGCTGCACTTCTGTCTCTGTGTAGAGAGACAGGCAGTATATTTACATATAAATTTTTTAGGAGACTAAATCTCAAGAATGACAGAAGCAGAGGTGCCATCTTCGTTAGGGTCCATGCTTTTTTTTTTTTTTTTTTGAGACAGAGTCTCGCTTTGTTGCCCAGGCTAGAGTGAGTGCCGTGGCGTCAGCCTAGCTCACAGCAACCTCAAACTCCTGGGCTCGAGCAATCCTTCTGCTCAGCCTCCCGAGTAGCTGGGACTACAGGCATGCGCCACCATGCCCGGCTAATTTTTTCTATATATATCAGTTGGCCAATTAATTTCTTTCTATTTATAGTAGAGACGGGGTCTCGCTCTTGCTCAGGCTG